CACATCTAATCGTCATTTCTCTGACTATATGCCCCCATGGGATTACTCAACTCTTTTTTCTTCAATCCCATGAGTGAAGCAGATGTCGAGTCAGAAATATTGCTGTTACCCCTTAATAAAGCTAGCGGATTATATTCTTTTCCATCAAAACTATTAAAGTTGGCTAGGCACTACATATCTAAACCCATAGCTAACTTAATCAATCATTCAGTGCAACTAGGTAAATTATAATAATCCCTCTCTGTTAAAACATGCCAAAATTATTCCTGTCTATAAATCAGATGACCCAACGGATCCTGGTAATTATTGTCCCATTTCTCTTCTTTCTATTTTCAATCGTATCTTCAAAAAACTAATGTATAGAGGTCTTAAAGCTTGTATTGATAAAAATACTGTTTTATTTACGGGCCAGTACAGTTTTCGAGAGAAATATTCAACACAACACGCAATTCTTGATATTGTTAACACTATTCAGGAAAATATGGATAAGAAATTAATCTCTTGTGGGATTTTTCTTGACCTGAAGAAAGCCTTTGACACAGTTGACCACTCAGTATTACTTTATAAACTGGACCACTATAGATTTCAAGGTGTAGCTAATTCTTGCTTTATGTCCTATCTATGCAAAAATTTTGTACACAATCGACACAAATTGAATGTACAGTTTCAGAGGAAAGGACAGTGGCTTGTGGAGTCCCACAGGGCTCCATGCCTGGCCCATTGTTATTTTTGCTATATGTTAATGATATCTATAATGCCTCTGAGAAATTTAACTTTCATTTGTTTGCTGATGACACCAATCTCTCGCATGCATGGCAATAAAAATCTTAAGTCTTTAGAGACTATAGTTACAGCGGAGCTGTCAAAGGTTTGGGATTGGCTTAATGCCAATAAATTAACGCTTAACGTTAAGAAGTCTAACTATGTTATTTTTCAACCCAAAGGATGTAGATCTAATCATCAAGTTAAAATAAAATTAATAGAAAACAACACTAACTCTTCTACTTATCTCGAACAGAAGGTATAATTTTATGTGAAATATTTAGGAGTTTTGATCGATAATCACCTTATGTGGAAACCACATATTGATTATGTTACTACCAAAATCAGTAAAACTATTGGCATCATTGCGAGACTGAGACATTTTGTTCCCCAGAGTGTTCTCCTCAACCTTTATAGATCTTTAATCTTCTTTTATTTTTCTTATGGCTTTATTACATGGGGTCAAGCTACTAATTTAAATCAACTCTATATAACATTTTGGTGTTACAGAAACGTGTCATATGCCTTATTCATTTCCTCCCATTCAGAGATCATTCTCTTCCTTTCTTTGTGACATCTAATATTCTACCGGTAGAGCTACTCTATTTCAAAACTGTCTCTGTTTTCATGCATGATGTCTCGAATGATGATGTACCGGAAACCTCTGTGACTCCTTTACTCGCTCCAGAAAAAATACACTCATATAACACCAGATCAGCTTCTGCTGGAAACTTTTATGTTAAACCTTCTAGATTAAACCTTATGTGGAATTCTGTTGCTAGATTTGGAACTGTCCTGTGGAATTCTCTGAGTATCACTACATGTGATCTGACTCGTAAATAATATAATTTGGATATATCAACAAAGTTGAAATGGCAAATTGGCCACCGTAACGATTACAAAAGCTGACGTTTCGAGTGTTAGCCCTTCGTCGGAGCGAATAGAGGAATTGTGGGTTGTGTGTGCTTTTAAAGGCAGAAAATGGAGCTACGTTATTGGTGGGAACATGGCAACGAGAAAAACACGAATAAATTAGTGGAATGAAAAGCGTTCGTTGATCCCTGTGGGATTTAGACTGCCGGTTTGAAAGATGAGCTTTTGTTCAAGAGTTTTACGGCTTTCCGTGCTACCTAAGTGTAAGGAAAGACNGCAAGAAAAACTATTTTCATACTTATTTTAGTGATAATATTAAAAATATGAAAGAAACCTGGGCTGGAATAAACTCCCTAATTCATCAAAATAGTCACAAGTCTAAAGCAATACTTGAACTTAAACAATCAAATAGTCAATTAACCCAAGACCCCTCACAAGTGCCGAATGTTCTCAATGACTATTTTTCTTCCGTTGGTTCAAATCTGGCATCTGTGATCTGCACATCTAATCGTCATTTCTCTGACTATATGCCCCCATGGGATTACTCAACTTAATAAATCTAGCGGATTATATTCTTTTCCATCAAAACTATTAAAGTTGGCTAGGCACTACATATCTAAACCCATAGCTAACTTAATCAATCATTCAGTGCAACTAGGTATTATCCCTCTCAGTTAAAACATGCCAAAATTATTCCTGTCTATAAATCAGATGACCCAACGGATCCTGGTAATTATTGTCCCATTTCTCTTCTTTCTATTTTCAATCGTATCTTCGAAAAACTAATGTATAGATGTCTTAAAGCTAGTATTGATAAAAATACTGTTTTATTTAAGGGCCTGTACAGTTTTCGAGAGAGATATTTGACACAACACGTAATTCTTGATATTGTTAACACTATTCAGGAAAATATGGATAAGAAATTAATCTCTTGTGGAATTTTTCTTGACCTGAAGAAAGCCTTTGACACAATTGACCACTCAGTATTACTTTATAAACTGGACCGCTATGGAATTTGAGGTGTAGCTAATTCTTGCTTTATGTCCTATCTATGCAATCGTACACAATCGACACAAATTGAATGTACAGTTTCAGAGGAAAGAACAGTGGCTTGTGTCAGTCCCACAGGGCTCCATGCTTGGCCCATTGTTATTTTTGCTATATGTTAATGATATCTATAATGCCTCTGAGAAATTTAAATTTCATTTGTTTGCTGATGACACCAATCTCTTGCATGCATGGCGATAAAAATCTTAAGTCTTTAGAGACTATAGTTACAGCGCAGCTGTCAAAGGTTTGGGATTGGCTTAATGCCAATAAATTAATGTTTAGCGTTAACAAGTCTAACTTTGTTATTTTTCAACCCAAAGGATGTAGATCTAATCATCAAGTTAAAATAAAATTAATAGAAAACAATACTAACTCTTCTACTTATCTTGAACATAAGGTATATGTGAAATATTTAGGAGTTTTGATCGTTAATCACCTTACGTGGAAACCACATATTGATTATGTTACAACCAAAATCAGTAAAACTATTGGCATCATTGCGAGACTGAGACATTTTGTTCCCCAGAGTGTTCTCCTCAACCTTTATAGATCTTTAATCTTCTTGTATTTTTCTTATGGCCTTATTGCATGGGGTCAAGCTACTAATTTAAATCAACTCTATATAAGATTTTGGTGTTACAGAAACGTGTCATATGCCTTTTTCATTTCCTCCCATTCAGAGATCATTCTCTTCCTTTCTTTGTGACGTATAATATTCTACCGGTAGAGCTACTCTATTTCAAAACTGTCTCTGTTTTCATGCATGATGTCTTGAATGATGATGTACCGGAAAACCTCTGTGACTCCTTTGCTCGCTCCAGAAAAAATACACTCATATAACACCAGATCAGCTTCTGCTGGAAATTTTTATGTTAAACCTTCTAGATTAAACCTTATGCAGAATTCTGTTGCTAGATTTGGAATTGTCCTGTGGAATTCTCTGAGTATCACTACATGTGATCTGACTTGTAAACAATATAATTTGGATATATCAACAAAGTTGAAATGGTAAATTGGCCACCGTAACAATTACAAAAGCAGACGTTTTGAGTGTTAGCCCTTCATCGGAGCGAATAGAGGAATTGTGGGTTATGTGTGCCTTTAAAGGCAGAAAATGGAGCTACGTTATTGGTGGGAACATGGCAACAAGAAAAACAAGAAATTCTCATTGCCATGTTCCTACCAATAACGTAGCTCCATTTTCTGCCCTTAAAAGCACACACAACCCACAATTNTTGTTGTTGTTGTTGAAAACTGGCCAAATTTGAAAATTTGCTTATGCTTGCAATATTCTCTCTACTGCCTGCACGTATATGCCAATCATTTGTTCATATTGCAGTTTTGCACAAATTAGTTTAAGCTGACAAGGCACTAATCTGGAGGCTCTAAAGATAAACTTTAAAGGGATTTGTGCCTGTAGAAAATTTTCCATCTATATATATATACTTAAATATTGTCTCTAGCTTTAATCATACTGGAAATTAAAGTGCTTTTAAGGAAATAAGAATTTTGTACATAGTTCCAAAGGTTTCCTTCTTTCTTGCATTCACACATGGTGCTAGTCATATGAAATGATTATTGATTATGATTATTGATGATTCTGGTAGGTTGGGGCTGTGTTGTGTGTGTGGGTGGGTGTGTGTGTAAGGGGGGGGGGTGTTACCAATTTTAAGATATCAGTCTTAAGTATTAAACCAAACATACAAATATCTCTATTATAAATGTGATGCAGAATGACTTTAAAATCTGCCAGATTCATTTTCAACATTTTTTTGTTAAGATCTTCATACCTGGCAGTTAGTGCAATGAATGTTCAATAGTATTCCAGTCAAGTCTAATTAGTTGGGTTGTGGTATCATCCAATCAATTAATTAATTTATATAATGAGAAAAAAGAAATGTGTTGATGTAAGTCATTCTGGAAAAAGCCATCCAGCCCTGCTGCCCCCACATCTTTGTTGCAAAAACTTAAAAGGAAACAGAAAGGATAAAATAAGTCACGTTTTTGTGATTTTATCAGTATACTCTTGGAAAAAAATGTTTCTGATGATATTATATACTTATAAAGTCACTATAATTGTGATTTGTCTTAAATTTACTCAAACAGGGCTGTAATCCCTGTGTAACTGTGATGTGATCAAAATTATTGGATCAGTGAGTGTATGGGAGGGGGGAGGGGGGGGCAGCATTGGAGCACAGTTTTAACTCAGAAAATTTCTGGAAACAATGAGGTATACATCTGTTGCAAATATTTCTTTTGATGAGATGTTGTGATTACTCAATATCTAAAGTGCACCTTGTGACTATTTTCAATAGCAATCAAGATGGTTTGTAATTTTCGCACTATTGGTGGTGGTCTCCTGGTAGTTGGTAGTGGCATGGCTCTTCGTAGCTGCTCAACTCTGGATGAGTATGTAGAGGCCTTCACTAAAATTGTACTGGTTGCATACACCAAACTGATTGAAATCAGTGAGGGATCTCTGTGTTTCACAGTGCAAGCTGAGACTCCAGCAGCTTTAAAAGAATTATGGGACATCTACAAAGATGGAACTCTGCAGAGTCGCCTTCAAGAATTTCTTGTCACTGATGACATCAAACACTTGGCAAACGGGGAAAATGTTGAGATCACTGTGTTCATCAACAAACAAGAATATAAAGAAGCTTATCTTGATCTTCTTCAGAAAAATCAAGGTACAAATAAATTTTCTTATTTCTGGTTCATGAAAATGATAATGACTCTGAGATGTACTGGTAATTAACCAGATTTAAAAGGGTTAGCCAGGTACATGTTGCTGACTTTAACAGAACAGAATTCTGATCCAGCTAGTGGGAGGATTTTAGTTACTTAACCCTTTCACTGCTAATATCTCATTAGTAATTCTCCTTACTGTCTGCCGTACAATTCTTTTGAGGTTATACATGTAAGTTCTGAGAATTTGGTATTGATGCAATCAACTAAACGTCTGTCCACTGATATTTTTCTTTATTTTCATCACTTGTCTATTTGGTATTGCACTGATGTTATAAGAAGGAATTCTGTCTGAGTCTTTCATGGAAGATAAGGGTTGATTAAGGAAGGAGATCCCTGCAAAACTTGTGAATGAGTTTAGTGATCAAAGAAGCCTTTTTCAACAACTCTTTTTCAAGAGAAGCTGCTAAGTGACAGACCTCTTTAATTTTCCTTCAGATGTGCCAGATATTAAGGAAGAAGAAAGGCTGTGGAGGAACTCAGATTCTTTCCTTTGCTCTAAGCTCAATGAAGATGAGGTGACTTTGATGAAACTTAAACAGATGGAAAACAAATTGAGCTTTGAAAGAAAATTTCATGAAGAGGAAATTATGAAATTAAAGGAGAAGATTGTGTTGACAGAAAGGCTGAGTGGTGAGAATGACCGAACTGTTAATCTTTTAGCTCCCAATTTATTATGTATACACGTGGCTCTGAGACTTGATTTATCTTAAACAGAGAAAAGAAAATACTAAACCCCTGAAATTTCTGAAAATTTTAGTTCAGGTATAGAATGTTTCTTAGCTGTGCATGTGTTGCTCCTGAAATTTTTAATGGTTACTTTGGATTTCAAAATGAACTGGATTGCCATCTGACCCTAATTGAATTGACTGCTCTTTCTAAGCATAATCGTACGAAAGCCATTAATCTCTCAGAGACAATTTGAAGTGTTCTTCCTTTCTAGGAAATGTAATTTTTGTGTAGGTTTCCTTCACAATGAACATTTGGTTCCTTTTATTGTATAGAAAGGTTTGGGCCATTACTTGTGGCGTTTATAAATTGGCATTTTTAATTTGATTTTAAATTTGACACCGAAATGGATTCTGACCAAGGACCAAAGGTGTCAGATGGCGTTTGAGGCTTCCGCTATCTTTTTATACTCATCGTTAGAAGTATATGGGTTGAGTTATGACATGATTCTATGCGCTTTGTTTCGCACTCCATCTACAAATGTTCTCGTTTTACACCCAACGAGACTCGAGGAAAGCGAGTAAAGTGCGATTTCATCGTTTGAATGGAGACAGTTGAAAATCCAATCCTTGAGGAGTGGCAAATTTATCGAGTTGACAACGTCAGTTTTGTAATGACCATTATTTATTTTTGTTTTGCTACCTATAGGGGGTGCAACGATTGACTGTGCTGAACGAAGAAGGCGAAACTCTGATTCAGCTGTGTATTTCAATGCAAAAGAAGAATTGCCTTTTTTGAGACTTCAATGTCTCGAAACCGAATTAACAAATCTCCGCAAGAGAATTACACTTGTGGAAGTAAAGACCGAGAATTTGGGATCATACTCCTCGGAGGAAAAGGAAACTGCATCTTTAGGAACACCCGATGAAGAATTTGGTAAGAACTGTTTTGGAAATTCAACACTATAGGAGCTAAATGTGGTTGTTTAGTAGTTTGTCTGTTTGTTTTATGGTTTAACGTGTTCTTGAATCACCAACCTTGACATTTCGTTTTGACTATGTTTTTGCTAACTTGGATTTAACTCATAATCCTGAACTGTCTGAAAAATTTCTCATGGAAGTAATAACAAAATTCTTAGGCTTGTTTTTTTATATTATTTTGTATATCTTCAAGACCAAGTCCGCCATATAGTATGAAAACTCACCACTAAAAACCGCCGTGGTGGGTTTGTTTCCCTTATTAAACATTTTTTTATTATTACTATTATTATTATTAATGATAGTCCTCATTATCTCGGCTCTGAAATCTGTCTTAGACTTCAAATCATGGGACCTCAAGAAGATGGAGAAAGACACTAAAAAGATGGAAGGATCGGAAGGAGGCGAGATTAAACCGACAGCGAAATTAATGGCTAGAGAAAAGATGGATTTTGTACAGAAGTATTTAGAGAATGTGCAAGAGACGTACAGTGTGACTACTGAGGCAAGTGACAGCGGTTTGGGAACACGCACTGCTGTGTCTGAAGGGGAAACGGAAGACGTAGAAGGTAAAACTGATTTATCCCTCATTTTTGTTGTTATATTTATCGAAAAAATGTTAATGGCGACTCCTTGCAAAGAGGTAGTATTCTATGTAAGTAAGTGGGAATTGAATCTCAGCGTAATGTAAGATTTCGCTCTCTGATTTGCGTTTAAACAAGGTAAGAGTATTTTTTTTCATTTGTTTTCTTTAAGCCACACACATTGTAGAGCCAGGCCTGGTGTAGAGCTAAATAGTTAAAGGCGCTGTCACAGTGTTTTGGGTATCCCCGAGTTTTGAATATCCCCGTGCCCAAAACACTAGTCTTTTGGGTATCACCTTTGGGGATATCCAGAACCCTAAAAGTGAATTAAACAAGAGACTGGGGCAAGTAACATGGTATCCTCTTTTATTTGTCGTGGATAAAAAACAGTTACTTTTAGACATCAGAAAGGTGTCATCCAATGTTAATTTTCGCACTTAGAGATTGTGGTCGGTAAAGGAAGTAGTTCATTTGTCGTGAAGCATCTTGGAATGAGCGACCAGTTAGCAGTTTCCTGTGAATTTCTTCGCACGTAAACAGCCGCTCCACTTGAGACATGCACGGAAGGAGAATTTTCCACTTGTTGGGATTTCGCATTAAAGAAAATGACTGGAAACCATGTACTTTTCGATTAGTTCGGAGCTATCATAACTGTCTGACTTGTATACCATTTGTTCGTGTGAAATTTCCTATTGCTTCAGTGACCTCCTTTACACCAAGTCAACGGCCATTTAAGGGCGTTTGTTTAGCCAAAATAATCACTCGACAACGACTTATAAATTACTTACAGACAAACGCTGTAGCAGACTGTTTGGTCAGTAATTCGTTGACGTGTGCAAACCTTGAAAATTTTTAATGCGCAAAGGACAAAAAATGTCTCAAGGACCAAAGGCTTACGTTTAACAATCTGATTTAATAACTAAATAAAAGGGGTAAGATTCCAAAGAAACTGTGGTGCTGCGTCGGTTGGGGTAACAAGGTAATTTGGTTTTATTCTTGTTTAGCTATAAGTTCGACAATTGTATTTTTGACAGTGTTTTGGTTTGTGAAAGTGAGATCTTTGTCGAATACCAACTTTTCACTCTATACCATGGCCCAAACCTGTGTATTACAAACCTATAGACTCACATAGTTATTTGCTGTATTCATCTTCACATCCATCCCATATCAAGAATTCCTTTCCCTTTACTCAGTTTCTTAGACTTTGTCGTTTATGCAGTGATGACTCTGATTTTTTCGAAAAATCAGAAGCAGTGTGCCAGAAAAACATATCCAGTTTCTGTGGTTCAAGCGGGCCACCACCGCGCCCAACTTATTGATCGACAGTTAGTACTACGTACGGTACATAAGGAAAATTCCAACCGCATTCCATTTACTCTCACATTTCACCCTCACAACCACTCAGTTAAATCCATTATTCTTAAAACACTTTAAATTACTTCAAAACGATCCAGAGACTAGCACTATCTTTTCGCAACCTCCACTTATTTTATTCAAACGGGACTAGAACATAGGCAATTTTTTGGTCAGAAGTTCACTATAAATCTTAAACTAATGACTGATTCGGAACTTTTAAAAGCGCTCTTGCACAATGCAAAACTTGTCCTTTCATTCACAATGTTGACGAAATATGGGGACCCAAACGATCCATTAAGATTACTGATCACTTCACGTGCACCTCCGCCAATGTCATCTATTGCATAACTTGCACCTATTGGGAAAAGATCAACATTGGCGAAACAGGAAGGCGACTAGGTGACCGATTCCGCGAACACCTTAGCGACGTAGAAAGGAATGATAAGGACGCATGAAAGCCAGTTGCTAGACATTTTAATCTACCTAATCATTCTAAGCAGCATATGACAGACTGCGGCCTTTCCTTATATTTAGATAGCTCGGAAAGCCGCAAAACTCTCGAACAAAACTTTATTTTTCAAATTTGTACTCTCAATCCCATAGGTATCAACGAACGCTTTTCATTCTACCATTAATTTATTCTTGTTCTTCTAGTCACCATGTTCCCACCAGTAGCGTAGATCCACTTTCTGCATATAAACACATACACAGCCCACAATTCCTCCGCTCACTCCGACGAAGGGTTAACGCTCGAAACGTCAGCTTTTAAACTATTTAAGGTGGCCAATCTACATTATCAACTTTGTTGATAGGACAAAATTACCTGATTTAATTGCTCTTCCTTGTTTGTTTTCTTTTGTTGACATCGCCCCCTCCTCCTGGTCATCATTGTATGGTTTCTTGTTTTATCTAGTTTGATTGTGTTACTTGTTTATAGACTAATGGGACTTTTTCAAAACAAAATATTCAACCCTTCAGGAAAAGCACAGGTGTCCCATTTCTCTATGAAGAAATATTTCAACAAAGTTCGCTCCTCTCGGCTCTAAAGGTGGCCTTTGTGGAGAAATTTGACTATACTCAAATGTTTCTGATTGTTATTTCTTTTAACCTTAACCAGATTCAATAAGACTTTGCCTAAAAGATCTGAGGGAAGAGTCAATTGAAGAGCTGGATAGAAGACTTCGTGTTGATGTTGTTGGGTTCCAAAGGTTTATTCAATTTTTTGGTCTTAAAGGAGTTCTTATGTCTGTGCATCCGATTAATATGAAGAACATTGCACGAATCTTTCCTAACACTCCTGTTGACCTAGTAAGGCAGTGTTTCGATGCTCTGCAAATGTATGATCTTATCGATCTTCTGGAAAAGGCGGTGAAATTAATGTCGCTTCGTCCTTTCCTTTCTCCGGAAGAAGTAGAGACGTTACGGACTGATAATCTTCCCACAAAGTCTCACAAGAATGTGGTAGTATTGGTAGTAAATGACAGCTCGAACAAGAACCTCAGTAGTAAGATTGAGAGATTTTTTAAAGAATTAAATTCGCAGAACGAAGTCACAGTAGTTCAATCTTCTTGTTCAAAACTCAAAGGCAGCATCCTGAATAAATTTAAATCTCTGAAAAAACGGGAGATAAGTCTCAGAGAGGAGAAAAAGAGATTATGGAGTGAAGTGCAGAGTACAAGAAATCTACAATCCAGAGATTTAATAACAAGTCAACTTTTTCAAGTCAATAATGATGCCGCACGACTTGAAGAGGAAATGGAAAGCTGGATACCGGCTGCAGAGGAACTGCTGAAAGAGACTCAGCAGGCTAAAACGATCATAACATCTACTTTAGACCTCTGGATTCAGAATCAAGGTTGGTTGTAAAATACTTTCTAAGCATGGCGAAGTATCAACTGTTTGAAATGGTTAATTTTTATCAATATTTGAAACCCGAAAGGAAAAAACGTCGAGGTTCACACATCTGGAATAAAAAAAAGTCATCACAACCAAGAGATTTTAAACTCTTGTCTTGACATTATATTACGTGACATTTCGTTTCTATTTCGCCAAAGTGAAACAGGCTGCACACAGAAACCAAAGCGAATTTAAATTAGCATGATGTTAACTCCACTGAAAGACAAGCTTGTCTTTATTTCTTTCTGGCTCTGATAAGACCATTTTGTGCTTAAATGGCCCATGACAATGAAATAAAGATTGTGCATAAAATATTTGTCCGTGACACAAATTCGTTTCGTGTCCGAGCTATTCGGCACGATGCCATTAACAGTTGTTTTCTCTTCCTAGTCCCTGCTCTTTTTGTCTAAATTGCATTTTTTTTTTTTTTTTTTAATTCTGCAGAGAAATTCACCGCGGTATTTTTGTTTTTCATCATCGGAAAAACGGAATCAATTTACGATTATGATGTTTTAGCAGAATGTGTGGCGTCCAAGTTGACATCGCTTCCACATCACACGAAAATTGTGGTTGGTTTTCCAAAGAGCATAATCGTTGATATTCCTGAGACTCTTTCTTTTGGTTTTCGTCGCACGCCAATGAGATATTCGGTCTATGATGCGATGATTGAGATTTTCATCAAGCGACACCACAAATTGGATCTCGTTTCAATGTTACGAGAACTAAAGAGAACTCATCTGGATATAAATTCAGTACTATATGAAGACCCTGTCCATAGCGATCTTTCTACTCTTGCAATGCTTGAGAAAAAGAGAGAACAAGAGCCTGAACGAAGCTAATCATATGTTAATTAAACGGAACACTATTTGAAATATATTTATAGCTAACTGAAGGTTAGAATAGAATAGAATATTGTGCACGTCCCCATGGTGCTTTTTTTTTTTTTTCTGTTTTTAATCAACGGGTAAACTGTGACTTTAGATTAATTTTATCTATATAAGATTTTTAACAAATTCTGTTTGTATCAGGGAGTTTCGTGACTCAACGTTTAGGAAAAGCTATTTACATCCAAATATCAAGCCTTTGCCGCGAACAATTTTAAATTTATTTTCAAAAGTACGACGAATGGAACCTGTGTAGGGAACGTAACTGAATTGCAATTCAAGGGAATGTTCATAGAACCTTTTCTTTATGATTATCTACAAGGTGTTTTGAACAAATTTTGACTCATCCTTAGATATGAGCTGTGGGAGGGAGGGGTAACGTGAGGGGAAATTTGTTAGACGAAAACGAAATGAACTCGAGCATGCTCGCATGCAAGAGAGTTCTCTCTGCTGGAATTTACATCTTTCGTCTGCTTCCACGCTTTCCTCGCTTGGTTGCTTTTACAAGCAAAGGTAAAAAGGAAAAATCGTTAGTTGTCATCGAGTTCGGCTTAAATTAGTAAAATATTGATCGATGGCTTTTTAGACTGGTAGTTAGGGGGGAAGGTAGAGAATGCATAAGACTTTCATTTATCACACGATGTAACCGTGTGGTAGTCCATGCAAGCGAACAATATTTCAAATTAAAATAGTGATACCCTAGGCCTATAGGAAAAGATTATGGTGCAAATTCAGGTGTGAAGACTAATTTTGATGTGTTATTGAAACTTTGTAACAATGTAGTATCAGTATTTCGAATAGAACGACTGAAGTGATCCTGAGATTTGATAGCATTTTTGTGTTTTGTATAAATTAGCTGCTGAGAGCGACAATTACCATCATATTTTTGCATTCACCTTTCCTTCACCTTCCCTCATTGTTTCCCCGCGTATTCTGTTATTAATGCATTCTTTCTTTCGTTATCCCCTAAGTTCACCATTGTTAGTACTCCTCGGTTTCTAAATATATATCATCAAGTCGCTCTTTAGGAACGTTTAAGTTCTTTTACTGTGCATGTAACACATTGCAAGACCGATGAAATTCTACTTCACACCTACTTTACCAGTTTATACCAACCGGTGTCAAGAGAGGTTTCATTAAGGTAGTCAAACGTCTTCAAATAAACTTCTCAGAAACTACCTTCAAAAGCCACCGTCTAATTTCTATAATATTCAAAGACTTCCTCCCGTAAAGAATTGTTTAGTAAACAACCCTCCTAAGTTGAAGTTGAAAAAATGGTTACTCCTTATTAAACTTCCCTACCCCTGCCCTCCCCCCTCCTTTTCCACGCTAAATAATGACCGGACCTTCAATATATTTTTAAGTTAAATGTCCCTGATGAATATCTTGAGCGAGGCTATTAAGGATGGAGATTGGTTACTAATTTTTCCTCTCGGTCCGGTTTAGAGCGCAAACGATTAAACAAATCAACAACGAGAACACTAGCTCTGATATCAACTTATGTACGTTTTTAGTTATTTGTCAGTACTTTACTTGGATTAATTTCAGTATCAAATTATGACGTTTAGCGTTTCATTTCTCTCAGTTTTTAATGGTAGAATGAATTTCAAACCCTTTTATTTGCCATCAAAGCGCTAAAGGGTTCTTCGCTATCGCTGTTGGGCATAATCTCAAGATATTGTCAAAATTTTGCTACTTTCAGCTCGAATGCTATCGGAAAATTCATCCCTTGACAAAGGAATTCCGCATTGAATTGCACTTGAAAACCGATATCGCACTCATCGCGATATCGGTTTTCAAGTGCAATTTAATGCGGAATTCACGAGTGAAGTAATGGATTTTCCTTGAATCGCATAACTGAATAAAAATGAGAAAAGAATAGGCAACAGCATTACTTAAAATTCAGTATGTTTACGCAGGCGAAACAATATCCCTTAGCCTCGTTTTCAACTCGCAACTCCACGCTAAATACTTCGCTTCATTAACCAATCAGAATGCGAAATTTTATTCAATGATGCGATTCTATTTAAGATTCCACGACGAGTGAATCCAAAAACTGATGCTTGAAAATGAGCATCCTTTTCTCGATAACCTTGTGATCAATCAGACAGACTTTCAGTTGAGAAAATCTAGTTGTAAGTTTGACCAAGTTCCAATGATTTTGTATGGTTGAGCGTGGATGGCATAACCCCTTTCATACAAACATGTGCGAAATTAGAATGATTCGGACTTTCGTTTCTCCTAGTGAAAAAGGTACAATGACTTCCAGCATTCACAACGTGTTTCATTTACCGTGTACTTTTATTGCTCTATGAGGATTAGTTCTCCTCTTCCGACTGGAAGGATCTTTTGGGTAGTGGTGTTGTCGACAATGTGAAGCCGTTCTGGTCAAGTGTACATTCAAAAGGCCCTATAAATTCCACACCTTTTTTTTATTTTTTTTCTGGGGTTGGAGTGGAGTTATTTATCGATTCAATTTCTTAATTGATTTGATAGACGTTTTTGTTTCATGGTCACGCTTTCGATGTGTGCGCACCTGCTAAGCGTGCAGCGATCCTGGGAACGAAATGGGGTCGGTCGCGTGACATCTTTAATAACTTTCTTGTCATGCAAATTTCCATCGTTTTGCCATTCTGGGTTGGAACTGCACAACAAAAGTTTTGTTGGCAAATTACTCAAACAAAGCTTGCTTGTATTAAAGACCACTTTTCTTAACAAGGATGTCAGAAATCGAGTATAATGACCTCCTCTTTGAAATTAGCGAGAAAGTGGCTGACTTTCTACTGCCAAGACTGGTGTTTATGTGCAGAGGAAAGATCAGCAATGAAGACAACGTTCGAGATGTACTCACGTTATTCAAGGAACTGGAGGGAAGGAATTACCTCGGTATTGATCGATTAGATACTTTGAAAGGAATATTGACTCAATTAAGGAAGCGACCGCTGCTTAAAATGGTGGAAGAGTTTGAGAGGCGAAGAAAAGGTAAGAGGAGATGACTGGAAGTCACCCATCTACGATCCTAACCGATTTCATAAGCCTTGGACTTTTGATATCCGTATTGTGTACTTGCTGATTGACCAGAATAATTGAAATTTCTATTTTATTTTACTTAAGGATGGAAAATTGCTTTTAACGCTTTCAGAACTCTCTATAGCACAGTATGTATCTTTAATGAATAACGGTTTCATTAGTGTAAATTAAACCGAAATCAAGTTTTTGATAATATAAACACGATGGGATTTCAATTTTTTTTACCAAGAGTATGGAAAATTGCTTTTGGAGCTTTCAAAATTCCTCGGACTATATTATTTTTTTTGAATGACTAACGATGGCACTGATCTTGTAAAATTATCCCATAACCAAGTCTGATAGGCTTTAATTTAATTATTCCAATTTCAGCCCAGTCAGTTGGCATTGTGTCTTCACTAAAGGAGGCTGCATCACATTTGAAAGGAGGTAACACAAGTTTACAGATAGACAGACAGACAGAATTATTGAAATTCGAAATTTTGAAGAGGCCTTTGAGACCTACATCTACAGCTGAAATAGCTCATTTGCATGCATGTTAATATATGGAACTAAGATCGCATGCTTAAAATCTATCAATGAACCTCTAGCAATGTCATGGTTTTTAAATGCAATGCAATGCCAACTATGATCATTTGAGCTGTATTGACCACTTTGTAACTAATTATTCAACTTCTTGCTCAAGTGGTTATAAAGTCTCACTTAATGGAGATTGCAAATCATTTACCAGTATTTACTATCTAGCTCACATGATCCAAATTTTTAGTTCTTTTCCTTATGTTATTGAATTCAGAGATTTCTGTCAATTTGATAGTAAGATATTCGAAACAGATCTTAAAATGGGAAATCAGGATTCCATTTTGACATTTTGCAAAGACAATGAAAGTCTTACCAAGTTTCTTCATATTTTCAATGGAGTAAGTGTACATAACAAACATGCACCTCTCAAAACAGCTAAGACTTGTCAGAAAGCTTATTAACCCTGGATTTCTTGAAAAAACCTATGAAGAGGAGAGACTTATCTGTTCAGATTTGCTGAACAGATATAAAATATACAGAAAAAAAATTTCTTCAATCAACAAGATTCATTTTGTAATGAGGTGCCAACAAATGATACCAAGATGTGGGATAAAATAAATTTATAGACAAATAAAAAGCACCCTAGCTCACAAATAGAAAAGCAGAGATAGATAACAAGTGAAATTAGCAACCTACTTTTATTTCTAATTTCCTTAATATTTACTTCTGTGATATTCCTTCCACTCTGGCATCACAATTGCCCAAATCAGAAAGGAAAGCTTCCTCCTTTTTCCCCTAACTGAAGTAAATCACTTCCAATTTTCTCAAATCTCCCAAAATAGAAGTACTGTTGATATTAGAAGATCTTGATACAAATAAATCCTTTGGGAATGATATTGAGGTTCATCCATCCTTATTTAGGTCATCAGTGATGCAAGTATGCCAACCTCTAACATATCTTTTTAATCATTCCCATTACCAAAGGTAGTTTCCCTGATAGTATGAAGCTTTCAAAAGCTGTTCTCATTTTCAAACAAGGGTCATGGCTCTCCAGTAACAACTATTGACCCATTTCAATACTATCTTCCAAGTGCAAAGTCTTTTAGAAATTTATCTTCAATCAGCTCATGGCTTATAAAATCTCATTGAAGGAAACCTGTTCTCTCCAAACCAATGTTTTTGATACTGCTAGTGATTGTTTAATGACCTTATTGAAGAAATTACCTCCACTCTTTATCAGGGAAACTATGTGGTGTCTTTTTTCTTAGATTTAAGGAAAGCCTTTGATACTGTTAGCCACCACATTTCATCAGAAAAACTTAAATAATACAGATTGCAACAATGTGAAGAAAATTGGTTTACATGGTACCTACTGCAGTAGGAAATAACAAGTTTGTCAATGGTGTTCAGTCTGATTCCATCCTATCTTTTCTGACCTGCCTCAAGGTTTCATCTTAGGACCTCTCCTATTTCTTATCTATATCAATGTTTTTCTTTAGTCGACTACTCATTTTTCTAGTAAATTATATGCAGATGATAAATCTCTAACAGCCTCTGGAAAAACCTTGATATTCTATAGAATAACCATATTATATATACACCACTGAAATACCAGGTGAGCTTTTGTGTGAAAACATAATATCTTCACACATGAAAATAATACCCTTACTATGCTTACATAATGAATCGTGCCTTTTGTAACAAAAGTGAAATGGTTTGGTTTTTAATTTGTTATTAAATAATTTATAATTGATAGAATATTACATGCATGGTCACTTAGAGGTACCATTAATTTCTATTATATTGACAAATATTTCACTAATTCACAAATTTTCAACACTCCAAGAAAATTTTAATATCTCTGCATGGCCATGTAATATCCCCTATATCTACTATATCTTCTGAGTGGCTAGAAATAAAGGCTTACAAACACTGCTATGATTGCGGAGCTTTTCTGTTTTCTTAATCTATTCCCTGAGACAGGCCACTGGACACAACTAAACATTGTCTTTAAGGGCTGGGAAAAAAAAAGACAACATCCTTTCCAGGAGTTCTAGTTTTAGTCAGGCCTTGAATCCTGAACTCTATGCCCTCTAGAAGAAACTGCACAAATGCCAAGTCCAAGGCATGCAAATCAGACTGTCGCTTGGCACTTGTTAGTGCAAGTAACATTGTACACTTCCTTGAGAGACATTTCAGTTCTAACTTACTGTTAATAGGCCACTTCTTGAACAGGCCAGTAACCAGAGAAACTTCCTAAGTGCTAGAATAACGGGGTTTAAGTGGTCTCGTATTGAATACCCCTTTCATGAAGCTACACAAAATTTTATGTTGGCCCAAGGGAGTTCTATCCAAGGGTGGAACTGTGGAGCTAATAGCTGATCTGTAAGTATTAATTGTAGAGTACTGTTTACCTTGTTCAAACAACTCTGAGAAAGTGAACTAAAACACTTACAGCTGGTCGAAAGTTATCAACCTGTTGTTGGCGACACCCGCAACACCACTTACCCCAACAGCACTTGTACTGAGCATTTATTGATCTGCGTTGGGCAGAGAGGAGAATATCTGTAGCTTCTTTTGATAGGCCTTC